TTTAAGTTTTGTAAAAATGCATGCGTTACCAAACTGCATGCCTGATGGGGGGGGGCGGCTCTGCCTTTGCAGCCCATGTCTGCACACACATGTGGGTAAATGTTGGTGAGGAGGGCCTGGGATGGGGGGACGCAGATGTCATTGGCTGTTACCTGCAGGCTCCAGTAAGAACTAGGTTTGCAGGTGCGTTTTAACATTTGATCTCTAAGTGTTCTGCACTGCACAGGGGAGAGTGAAAATGCAGGGCCCTCTGGAAAGAGGATTGTCCTCCTGTTCATGCAGGAGCGATTGTTCCCAGTCCCTGTCGCCCTTGGGTGTGCAGACTGAGCTGGGGAGAGCAGCCTGGAGGAAGGGCCCTTGGAGTCATCTTGTCTGACTCCTCCATTGGACACGTGAGGAACCAGGCCTGAGTGAGAAAGGACTTGTCCATGGGGTCCCAGCTGGGACTGAGCCCATGGAGGGGCGGGGGGCGTGTCTGGTTTCTGAGTTCAGCGCTCTTTCTGCTCCAGTGGGGGTCTTCTGTGCTGTGCACCTTCCACAGCCCCAGCATGCTGTAGACCTTAGTACACTTCAGTGGTGGTGGGGGGGGGGAGGTGGTCTTCAGTTTGGGTTCTGTGTGTTTAGAGAAAACTCATGTGAGATGCTTTGCCGAGTGCCCTAATGGAACTCTGACTCAAAGTTGGAAACCACAGGGAGAGGCCAATTCCTAGCAATCTGGAAAGGCCTGGCTCCAGATGGCCAGGTTTAAGCAGGTCTTTGAATAATAAAAGTTGTAATCATTTATTGAACACCTGCTGTATGCCTGACATCATGCTGGCTCCTGGAGATGGGTGAAACTGCCTTGCTGTTGAGGGGTGGGGGTGGTGGTGGTGGTGTCTCATTAACCCTTTCGTCACCGAGTTGTACCCATTGCTGCTTGTCATTTTCTCACGATTTTCTGCCCTTTGGAAAGTTTTTTGTTACTGACACATTTTTCACCTCATAATCAAAGAATGGCACTAACTGTTACAATTCAGGGCACAGATTTAAGTAGTGCAGACTACTTAATTTTGCTGCTAAAGAAGGCTTTAAATGATCAACATCATCTTTTCAGCTTCCTGCCACCTCAGTCACTGCCAGCAAGGCCTTCCCTTCATGGAAGGGCCCCAGAAGTGCATGCTCCACCCAGATGTCGGAGTGGAGAACCGCACAGTCTATTTATTTAGTAGGATCATGGCCGACTCATCCCTGACATCCAGAGGACTGACCGTGGACTGCCCACCCACCCCCAGTTCCTAGGACCGCCAACTCACTCCCCAATCCATGGAGAATGGGACGTTGGAGGGAGGGGGCAAGTCATGCTCCCAGGTTCAAGGTTTTATTTAGAAGGTTTTTAAAAAAGTTATAAGGTATCCTTATGTTATATTCATAATATATAAAGAGCTTTTATGAATCACTAAGGGATAAAGTCACGTACCCAAACAGCAAAGGGCGTGAATGTTTTACCGTGAAAGCAGATGAACAGATAGATGGCTAGTGTGAACCACGTTGAAAGGCAGTGATCCAAAAGGGAAGTCAGAATACCGAAGAGAGAGCAGTTTGTAATGACCCGGTTAGCAAACACCGGTGTGATGCCCGTTCATTAAATTGGGTCAATAGTGATACATCTATCTGTATTAATAATAGGTCCAGTTTTAAAAAATCAGGTTTTCTTTGACCACCTAATTGGGCGGGGGTAAGTGCTTATGACAACATCCAACAAAATGCTGTTACTAATAATTTCCCTTTTACTTTGCTGTGCTGTAAAATACGAAAGTGTTTTAAACTAAACGGTAAATGCTAGGTTAAGGAATCAGATTGGTGAAGTTTCCAGATGTTTGAAAGAAAGCGTTGCTTCTGGGCTGCGGGTGGAGGAAGACCAGGTCTGGACTCCCTGAAGCAGACAGATGGGGAAAGTTGTCGTGGGCCTGCTCCCCGTTCCCGTCTGTAAAGTAGGGGTGCTTGTGTCTGCCTCAGAAGACCACCTCGGGGATTCAGGGACAGACGGCGTGAAAGCACCACTTTTCTGAACCTCAGGCCAGACAGCTACCGCCACCCGCACTGCCCGGGGCCTGGCCGGCCCTGCTGGTCCTCCGCGCACCACAGCAGGAGCGCTTCTCTCTCGCCCTCCTCTCGAGAACAGGGCAGTTCCCCAGAAGAGAGTTTCGGTTTTCCCAAACTGATGGCCTACTCCTGCCTCTCACTGTCACTGTCCACCCACCCACCCAGCTTGGCAGGTGGACTTGGATCAAGTCGGGACTAATTAGAGGAGCGCACCTCTGTTTTGGAAAGAGGTCCATTCTCCTTTAAATTTTTATATGCAGGGGTGGGCAGATGTAGGGTTAAGTGTCCACTCTCGTTGGTTCAGTTGGCAGCCATCACTACTTAAAACATAAATCATAAGTGAGGATATGAAATAATAACAATAATGACGATAAGCAAGACAAATAATATAGTGATTAATAAATAAATACTAGTACAAGGATAAACTTACATACTTACAACTGTGGATGTACTCTTTCCCAATCCTGTATATAAGACCGTTTTTCTTTTGGGAGGGAGGTGACTTTTGTTCAATGGTCTGAAGTTTGGAGGGATAAGTAGATAAAAGTAAGCAAGAAAACTTCTATTAAAGGATTAAAGGAGATAGTAAAACACATTGTAAAATGTGTTGGAATGGAGTCTTACAGACATAGGACAGAATTAAAATGCCCAGAAACAGACCTTTGTAAGAATTTTGTCTCTGGTTTCAGATGGGTTGGGAAGGACTCATGGACACGGACAACAGTCTGGTGATTGTGGTGGGGGAGGGGAGCGTTAGGGGGACAAATGGTAATGGAAAGAATACAGTTAAAAATACTAGAAAAAAAAGATGAGTGGGGGGCGGATCATACTGAGGTCATTGGCTGTTTGAGGAGTAAAACCCATATTCTTTACCAAAATGACATCCTGAAGGATTAAAGAGTTAAATATAAAACCAGTCTCGGAAAGAACTTGAAGGTGGATAGTTGCCTCACCCTGATGTTTTTTAAACTTTTCTGCTGTTGCTTCTGAGGAATAATTGTTGGTTATAAATCACGAAAAGTTGCATTTTCACTGAGCCGCCAACCACAAACAGTGCAGCTAATGGAGAACCTGGCGTGTCCCCCAGCAGCCCTCCTCCCAGACAGCGCCTGGGCGGGGAGGCTTCTCCTCCCTCTGGGTGGTGCCGTGGCCTCAGACCCGGGGAGGTGGGAAGACCTAACCTGTGACGTGTGGGATGCTAGTGACACATCACAGCAGCAATTTTCGACTGGCGCACCGCAAGGAGTTCTAAAACATGCGGTATCTGACTGTTTAGTTGGGGCACTGACCTCTTTTCCCTTAGATGGTCAAATAAAACAATGACAACAGACAACACAACAATAACCATCTGGTGTGAGTGAATCGCAGTTACACCTTTTTATCTTGTCAGATGGTAAGAGATACATCTTTGGTGAGCCGCAGAACTTTAGTGATGAGTTCACGTGTGCCGTGAGATGAAAAGGCTGAAAGTCGCTGCACTGCAGGAGGGTTGGCAGAGCCTCTCTGGTGACAGAGATGGTTGCTTTTCTGTAGGCAGAAGCATTTTGAAAAGTTGGGCCCGAGTGGCCAGCCCAGCCCCGCTCCTTTCTCTCTACCTAGGGTCTGTTAAGACACCTACTGTGTGCCCACACTGAGTCCTCCTTGCCTCCAGGTGGCTGAGCTTTCCTGGTTTACAAAACACAGCACACTTAATCTTCTACAAGCCTAACGACCAGGTGGGACACTAAGCCACTCCCACTTTTTACAGGAAACTCATGCAGAAAGGCCAGTTGGCTTGCCCATGGTCATCTCCTGCTAGTAGAGGCACTAGCCCTTGAGCCCAGACGTGCTGGTTCCCACGGGGACCTGTTCATTCTGCAGCACACATCGTGTTCGTGGAATTCACATGTTGCTTCATTTCCTTCCATGAAGAGTCAGAAGTCAGGAGTTGTGGCTCCTGTTTTGAGGCTGAGGACAGGGAAGAAGTGACCCCTTCGAGGTGGTGACAGAGCAGGCTGCATTCGTGAGAGCAGAGAAGGCCGTTTCTGACCCCAGTGGGGTGACTCTTGTCTCACAGCACCAGTCAGACCCCCTGGGAGGCAGTTAGTGATTCAGTTTCGAATTCTCAGCCCTGGTGGGACTTGGGGGCCACTGAGCCCGAGCCAGTGGGGAGGAACCGGGCCCAGGCAGGGTGGTCGGCTCACGCCTTCCTGTACAGCCTGCTCCTGCCTGCGAGCACGGGGCCAGGCACAGACACGCCGACCACACCAGCAGGTGGGGCGCAGATTGTCTGGAAGGAGGCCAGGCTGAAGCGAGCAGCGTCTGTTCACCCCTGGGAGGCATTTGCTGAAGCAGATGTACCAGGTAAATGCCAGAATAGCAGCGTTTAAAAGGAAAAGTAACGGCCCCCCTCACCCCCCATTGTGTGGCCTACCTCCTGTCCTACGGCACCCAGGACCCTGGCGGGACCAAAAACACACCTGCCCTCCCTCATTGTCTCCAGGGACATTTCCCAGCTGGGCTGTCTGTTTGTTCATCAAGTTATGGATATTTATTGGTCTTTGGCTCCGTATAACATGCCAGCCTCCTAGAGAGGGTACAGACGTTTACAAAGCACCGAGCTTGCCCTGAAGGAACTGCACAGAGCAGCTGGGTGGGTCAGGCAGGGCCTCCATGCGTTAAACAGCTGCTGCGTGCCGGCCACCCACTGCATCTCTGCCGAGTGTGTACAAGGCGGTGGGCACTCCCCCATTTCAGAGATGAGGAAGTGGAGGCTCAGAGTTCATTCCTCACTTGCCTAGGAAGTGACACCTGGAAAGGTGACACTGAGAAGGGTCTGTGGAGGACACGGGCGGACAAGAAGGGTGGGGCCAGCAGTTGGAACTGTGTGTCTCTCGTGGGTGCAGCCTCTCTCACTCTTAACCTTCCTGTCTCCACAGAGTGCAGCAGCCGCCCCGAGCCCAGTGCTCGGCAACATTCCCCCCAACGATGGGATGCCTGGAGGCCCCATCCCCCCGGGTTTCTTTCAGGTACGTGCTGGGCCCTCGGTTGGTCCTGCGGTCCTTCCACTCCAGGCCATTCTCCGGCAGGCGGGAGGGAGGGAGAGGGAGAGGAGTGAGTCGTAGCTCAGTTTGCCATGGTCTAAATACTGTTGCTTTATGCTGGTGGAAGCCCTTCTCTTCCCATCCCTTTCTCCACCCCACCCAGCCCCGAGGCAGGGAGAAAAGAGATGGAGAGCAGACACCTCCTGCATGTGCTGGACTTTGTCTTCTTCACACCCGCTTCGCAGTCCCGGCACAGCTGCCCCTGGTCAGGCAGGCGGCGGGGCTACTTCCAAGTCCACGTGGAGCTGTCTTTCAATAGAGGCTTTCTTTCTTTCTTTTTCTTTTTTTTAACAAGTAAACTGTTCTTTGTTTCTGTTGTGTTGCTGCTGTCGTTGTCATTGTTTACTTTGCCTGTCCAAACTACAAACCTTAGGCATAATCTAAAAAAACCCAGAAAACCCACCGTCCTGGCAGGTCTCGGAACCCTGTCCCTCTGGTTAACCACTTGATTCTTTCCGAGTGCACTCACGGACGGCACCCCGCGAGCATCTGTGCCCGCGCCCTGCCCCGCTGGAGCAGGAGCAGATCCCACACTGGTCCAGAGCCTGGCCTTTCCCAAGAGACACCTTGTCGGGCTCTCCTCTGGGGCTCGCTGTGTTGTCAGTGTTGGATGTGGCCGCCACCCACTCCACGCCTCCTCCTCCATCTGGTCGTCCCCTCTGGGGGACTCATTCCATTCGAACCAGACTGAGATGGCACGCAGGGCTGGAAGGAACTTGATGATGAAGCTCGAACGTAACCTCCCATTCTTTCAAACCTGCTTGCCGCTGGGTTTGAGAATCTGCCTGAGGTCCCCAGGCCCTTTGCCAGGTTAGCACTTCCAGATAAGAATATGGAAGGAGCAGTTGTGTGGGAAAGAAGGCAAAGATTCTGTGTGTGGGGGGAAGCCCAAGAATTCTAAAATGTGACGGGGGGGGGGGCAGAGTCCAAGGACGCTGGTGCTCGGCGGAAGCCAGAGTTCCACACCACGTGTGTGCAGCAGGGAGCCACGGGGTGCAGGAGGTGGGGGCGCCTTGGTCTGGAGGCGTCTGAGCAGAGACAGGAAGAACACCTCCAGGGGCGTTAAGGGTGGGCGATGACCTGGAAGACACTGTGCTTTGCGAGATTTCACATTTTGGTGTTAACTCCCGGGAGAGGAGGGTCAGGACGTGCTGCTCACCAGACGAGGGAGTCCGTAAGGCATGGGCGTTCCCTGACAGCAGAGGCAGCACGTAGCCCGGAAGGTGGTGGTAAGCAGAGTGCGAGGGACACGAGGGCGGCAGCTGAGGGCCTTGGACGGCCGCCCGTGGTGAGCGCATTCTCAGCACACTGTCCAAATGGGGGTCTTGTCCCAGGAGTGGAAGTGGGTGTAGCCTCAGAAACCAGTGTGCGGGCTTTAGATTGGACCAGACCAGGCATAGGCTAGGGCTCAGCTTGGGGTTAAGGCCACAGGCATCAGGGAAGAGGGGCCAGACTTCAGAGAGAGAGTGAGACGTTCAAATCCTCGGAAACCCATAGGTCCAAGAAAGACAGGGGCCAGGTGGACTCTACCTTTCTGCCAGAGGGGGGAAACTGAGGGGCTACTGTCTGAGATGGTCATCTGTGCTGCAGGGCAGCTGTCTTCTAGCTGCTACACTCAGGGCATGCCACCCCCAGCTGGTGGTTTTCCCCACGGGGTTTTTATCTGTGGGGACTTCTTTCTGATGATGCCACGGGTGCCCGAGATAGAATTCAGATGTGGCTGTCCTGCCTGGCGCACAGAGCCCACCCAGGTACCAGGCTCCACCTGTGTGCACCCCTACTGAGGCTGCCTGCTGCCATCTGGGTGCCCAGTGCAGATGGCGGGAAGAGGTGGACAATAGGCAGCTATATTTTTAAAAATAGACCATTCACTTCTATTTTGGCCTGAGTCTGGGGCAAGGCAAGGTCTGCCTGATATGTGGGCAGTTCCCTACTTCCTGCTTTGGTATAATTGTTCATGGTTAAGGCTTAATTCCAGACATACTTCTTGGGCCCTCCCCTGTGACGTTCAGGGGTGTGTGGTCAGCAAGTCCAGGCTGATTCTTGTCCTTATTTAGCTCCCACCAGCCACCGTCACTTGGAGATGACTTTTGGACTCTCTTGACCTGAGGTCTTCCCTGACCTCTGTCAGGGTGAACCACCCAGAGCTGGCTGGTCTTTGAGCAGAGACCTGTGTGCCATGGCCTCTCTGCTTCCTGGGTGACTTCGGTGGACACCCCGCCCCCTTCCCAGGGCCTCGTTTCCCCATCAGTCAAATGAAGGTGGAGAGGGTCTCTCTTGGCCCTGATGCCTGGGACTCCCTTTCCTCACTGGGGCTGGGTCCTGCTACAGTGAAAGGGTGTCTTCCCAGCAGGAGTCTGTGGCTTCCCATTTCTGGAGCGGGCCGGTTCACAGCAGGAATATTAGCTATTGATCGTCGACCCTGCCCCTTGTTCATCTTACAGGCGGCCACTCTGATACTGGAAGAGAAGTAGAGATGGTATCAAGGGTTTTATCTGTTGCCAACAATTGCACTTCCCCTGCTTGGCCACGGCCTGGGCGGGCAGCTCTACTATAGGAGGGTCTTTGCACTGGGGAGCCAGCCCAGGTTGGCTGATCAGCTTTGGCCAGCCCAGTTTTCAGGTCAGCCCTCCACCCCCAGTCAGTGCTAAATTTAGAAGCCAACAAGGCTGCCAGGGTGGGTGGGAGGGAACAGCCGTCCACCCCCCACTCTGGCCCCTCAGGAAGCAACACAGGGGACTCCCTTCCTTAGGCCTCTGGCTGCCAGGCTGTGAGGCTGCTCCCGGGGTCAGAAGGTCTGGCCTTCTGTTTGTTCTGTACACTCAGTGTTTGGGTTTCTGGGGTGGACAGTGCCCGCCTGGTCCTGCGGCATGAGGTTGTGTGTGGTAGCAGCAGGTTGAGGGCCGACAGGAAGGGGGTTTGGGATCCGGCCGTGTTCACTATGTGGGGTTCTTGGTGGTCATGGTGGAACATAGCAAGGGCATTCTAATGCTGTGTGTTCCTTGTAAAGAGATTGCCTTAGCCCTGGCATCCCCAGCACCTGGTGTGCACTGGGACCCCCGGTTTGAATTGAGTTTATTTGTGTTACTCACATTTATTACCAGGAGTATAGCCGAACCAGCCCCAAAGCTCTAGATCTGACCAGACTTGGAGTGTCTGGGGTGGGGTTCTGGAAGGGGGCAGGGAGCAGAAAACTACAGCTTGAGGACACCTCCTTTAGCGTCCCTCTGCTAACACACTTGCTGAGTGGCCTTGGGCAAGTCGCCCTCCATCTCTGGGCTCAGTTTCTTCACCAGCAGATGAAATCGGGCAGACCAGATGACCCCTCACAAGCCTTCCAACTTGGATTTTCAGCCTTAGATCCAGATGGATTTCACATAATCAAGCAGTGGCATTTTTTTCATGCAGCTTAAGGCAGTTGGGCTGCACATCTGGCAAACTTGCCTTGGCCTTGGCTTTGACCAGGCCCACTGGTCTGGGTGGGTCCCAGCTCCTTGGCCCTAAGGTAGTTGTAAGGGAGGCGCTGCCTCATGAGGATTTCTAGGTCCAGAGCTGGGGAATTGTGGGAGGACAGGGGTCATGGAGAAGGGAGCATTGGGTACAGGCTGTTTTTGTTCTTGTTTTGTTTTAAATTCCAATAATTGTTTTTAGTGATGTAGTGTTTTTAGACGTGCAGCTACTTCTGATCACAGTTGTTTGTGCCAGGGAGGCATGGCTGACTGGAAGAGGGAGACTCAGGAAGGTGGCCTGCCCACAGTCACCAGCCCGGGTGTGAGGAGAGTCTGGACCAGGCTGCCTGGTTCCTGCTCCTAGAGCTCCAGTGTGGACACAGGTCTGCTTGTCTGCAGGAAGAAGAGTGACTAGAGAAAAAAAGGAGGGAAAGAACGGAAGGAGAAAGAATCTGTAGCCATCTTCTCTCAGAAGTGGCCAGCGTTTCCATTCAGATGCCAGCTGTGATTGCTCAGTAAACACTACTTAAAACACTGTGTTGAGAATGATTCTGAAGCTTTACCCAGGCCCGACAGATACTGACTGGCCAGATCTACCATGCACGTGGTCACGTCGTAAACAGTAGTTCGTATCCCACACATTTTCCATCCCCGACCTAGTCCAGACTTCTCATCTGTGGATGTGGAGTGAAGGCCCAGAGGCAGGTGGGACTGTGGTTTGTGACACTCACCGGCCACCTCTGATGTGACAGCACAGGGCTTGGCTCTAGGCCAGGACTGAGTTAACTGTGGTCTGCCCACGTCATGTGCCCACATGAGCACCTAGCCCACCAGGGAGACTGACAGGGAGACCCATGCCCGCCCTGTAGCAGGAAGCAAGAGACCTGCCTTCCCAGACAGGAGATAGGGAGGGCTTCCTGGTGGTAGTGCAGCCCCGGCTGGGGCGGTGTCCCGAATGAGGTGGTGCTCAGTGGGGGTCAAAGCTGGAGCGGTTGCCGACGTTCATTGGTGGATACTCTTGGCGTGTGTGGCTCGGTCTGGTGGGCACTGGGAAGCGCTGGGGTGCCCTGGTCTGGAGAGTGCCTCCGCCAGGTCTGCATTCCAGAATGGTTGCTCCGCAACAGCTCCGTCAGCTGTGTGGGGGCGAGGACCTGGGTGCCGAGCGCACTGGCGTACACTGGCACTGCAGAGACCCAGCGAGGGTGTAGGGCTAAAGACCTACGCCTCCTTTGGAAAGACAGCCTTGGGGAACCCAGCTCCCTTTGCCCAAAGCTCAGCCCATCCTGCCCTAAACACATTTTCTCCCGTGATGGGGGGCGGTAGGGGCTGACGTATCCCCCATTCCAGTGAGCCCTCGTTCCCGCCAGCTAAGCCCACCTACCTTGGAAAGACACTGAGGTCTGCCTCCAGAGAGCCCTCCCATCAGTTACCGGGGGAGAGGAGAAGGAGCAGATGATGCGTATAGTGCGGGAGCCA